GGATTAAATGGGTTAAGATAAGTAAGATTCTTATAACAGTGCCTGCCATGGCAAGAGCTCAGTCAGTGTTAACAGTTGTTGTTATTCATATATGATGGGAGGTGGCCTTTGCTTTTGGTGTGCTTCTAGTCCAGTGAGGAGAGAGAAACTAAATAGTCATTTCACCCATTCTTCAGTGCCTTCTATATGGCAGGCATTGTAGTGGGCCCTGGAAATAAAGCAACAAATGAGCACATTCTTGCTCTCATGAAGCTTATTTTTTAGCAGAAAGACAGTTAAATTCAGTAAAATGTCAAAAGTATTAAAATACAATATGCTGTGGATGTACATCCAATAGAAAGACTTAACTAATTCTAGAAGGTGAGACAGTAAGGAAAATATATTATGACACATGCTATAAGGGAAGATCTTTGTAGGTTTAGGGATATCACAAAGTAGAAAGTGCTTGGGTCTTCAGGAAGTCAGGGAAGGCTTCTTATTGGAGGAAATGCTTGAGCTGACTCTGGTGGCAAAGACCAGACAAGTGGCAGTGGGTCAGGGAGAGCATTCCAGACAGAGGGAATGGTTTGCGTGATGTCGTAGGGCAACCAAAGCTTTTCACAGTGCCTGAGTTTCCGTAGTCCTTCCTTGTTGGCATGAGGTGTGGGGCAAGTGGGGGCAGGCAGTGCTACATGTGGGGAGAGCGAGAGGCAAACTTAGACAGAACTGCAGATCTGAGGGATTTGCCCTCCATAAAGGATAAAGGGTTAGCACTTTATCCTGAAGGCAGTGGGTGTCACCGAAGTATTTTAAACAGAGGAGGAATTATGATTTCATTTTTATTTTTAAAAGATGAGTCTGTTATCTTTGTAGAAAATGGACTGATGGGGGCAAGATTAGAGACAGGTAGACCTATTAGCAAACTATAGCGGTTGCCCAGGCAAGAAATAATGAGAAGGTGAACCAAGGCAGTGGAAGTGGAAAGGATGGATCAAAAGAGACAGAAAGTCAAATTGACATGGGTTGGCGAGATTACAGGCGTGAGCCACGGGAGGGGCAAGGGAGAGAAGTGAATTCTTGGGTTTATGCTTATGCCACTCGGAATGTAGGAGGAGAGCAGTCTGTCAATTTGGAGTTCCCCTAACATCAAAATTTCTTTTGTTTATAATAAATATAAACATTAGCATCACAAGAGACCTCAAAAATCTTTGTATCCACTTTTCTGCAGTCAGGTACAGTGATTTTATTCACTTGTGAGACTGAGCAATTAGGCGGTTCACCAGGATTTCCTAGCTGAGTAGTGATGTGCAGAATTCAGGCCAGCTCTCTCCTGATGTAGTATTCTGATGAAAGTTTGCCATTTTTAAATAGTTATAGACGTTTGATAATATTTTTAAGAAGCGTAAGAAACAACTTTCATAAATGATTGGGTTGAATCAAACATGTGGGACACTGTTAGGGTATGTATAATAATATAAAGCTTTTTAATAAAGAGGAAAAAAATTCCTTAAGAAGAGAATGGCTCACATAGTAGATGTTTCTTCTGTTCTAGGATTGGTCTTTAGTGCCCTCTATTGGCTATTTAGTCTAAAGCAACATCTTGACTCTTGAATGCAATGTTCCTTGCAGTGTTATTTACCAAGAGAAGAAATATTGGAGATTTAAAAATTATGATAAAAGGTGATAAAAAACCAACAGGGACTTTAAAAATATTTTTTTGGGGGGGCTGCTGGCTTTGACAGCACATATGCTAAAATTGAAACAATACAGAGAGGATGAGTATGGCCCCCGAGCAAAGATTATGTGCAAATTCATGAAGCATTCCATATTTAAAAAATATATAAATATATATGTGTGTTTGTGTATATATATATGCCTGGGGAGCTGAGGGGTTGGGTAGGGGTCTTGAAAAATATCTTTAGAACATTTTGTTTACTATAACATGCATATGATACTGTAGACTGTATTTTCAGAAAATGGACCTTTCTGATGAGAAGCAGCCTGAGTCAGGCTGGGTTCTGAGCACTTTTTATGCAGCAAAGCCTCAAGAATAGTAGCCGCCCCAGTAGGCAGTAGCAGCTGCTGTTTTTCCATAGCGTGGCTGCTCCATGTGATGGCCATGAAAAGAAATGACTGTTACTCATTAGAGCGACTCCATTCAGCTATGTGGGAAATCACACAGTCAGAAAAGTCATCATAGAAAATGAAGTAGTGATTAAATATAATGGGGCTTCTTCAGAGGTGAGTGGTTTGTCTTTTTTTTTTCCCCCTTCCAAGTGACAAAGAAGCTGCCTTTGGATTCTCTCCTCCAAGAAAAGGGACAGGAGTGTTTAGAATAACTATAGGTCTACACCTGAATAAATTTTAGTAAGCAAACATACCTTTCACTAGTTTGAGGTCTAAAGAAGACTGTACTTATTTAAGTGCTCACTATGACTGAAATAAGGGAGATCTGTTAATCTTCAAGGGTACAACTCTGTTTCCATTTTTTTCCTGGTGAATCTTCCTTTGAAATGTTTCTAATTATCATTTCAACGGGTTGCATTTTGAAAATCTATCCATGTATTTAGGTTAAAAATAATATTTTTTGATTCAGTGTTACATGAAACTGCAGAGATTGTTCATAATTAACTTAGTGAAATCATTTATTTTCTTTTGGTATATTTTACTGTTGCAATTTTCTCTAAAAAAGTTTAGTAATTATGAATATGAAGTAATGCTAGCTGCTTTCTGTGTGTTTCGTGAGAGGAATAAGCTATTATGTAGTTTCCCTTCCCCCCCAATAAAAAAGCCTTTTATCAAAAACTGACATCTTAAACGAAGGACATAATTGTACAGCTTATTTATTAGTGTGTCAAACTTAAAATGTAATGGTTTCGTATTTCAGAATTTCGTGTGTTGTGATTCATGCTTGCCAGTGACAAAATAGACAGCTCTTTTATATTACTGCACTGATTGCCTGCTGATATACCACTGTACTT